GGGCAAACACACAGACCAGAGAAGCTTTAGTGACACTATAATTCAAAATGTACTTTTTCCATCTTCTCCCCCTGACTCTGTTCTCGTTCTTTTTATTCTCATCCAGTCGATACTCATGGATGGAAATTCTTCTTACCCTCTCTTCCCCGTAAATCACAGCACCTGTTCACGTGACAACGTTGTGAAGACGGTGGTGTTTCCCGTTCTGTACTCTGTCCTCTTCCTGGTGGGACTGTCACTCAATGGCGTGGCGGCGTGGGTGTTTTTCCGCATCCCCTCCAAATCCTACTTCATTATATACCTGAAGAACATTGTGGTTGCTGACCTCATCATGACTTTCACTTTTCCATTCAAGGTATGAGCAAAGGTCTTTGATTAATTATCTGTGAGGTACATCAAAAAGTTTTCAAACACAAGGTAGAAAACTCTATAATTTTATGATTAAATGTCTCCAACAGTTTTGACCAGTTTTATTATTTAATCTCTGTCATCGTTGATTTGAATAAATAAAGCATTTTCAAATCAGAGAAAACAGTCAAAGGATGTGATCTAGAACCATCTGATTTTATGGAAAAAAAAATTCAAAACACCACTGAAGAAGAGCGCAGACTGACATGTAGAAACTTATTTACAATGATGTTGTACAATTAGTCTTAGAACTTTCTGACTCTTATTTCTGACTGCAGGCCTGAGACATATTAATATTGACATGTCAGAGGAGAAACACAACACAGTGATTGATTGATTATGTTGGCCTTGTCCCATCCAGGTGCTGTCAGACTCCAACATGGCTTCTACTGGCCTGCGCGTCTTCGTGTGTCGTGTTTCCTCAGTGCTCTTCTATCTCACCATGTACATCAGCATCCTCTTCTTCGGTCTCATCAGCATCGACCGCTGCAGGAAGACCCTAGTGCCTTTCAGGGGAACCAACGCTGCTCGTCTGATTTGTCGGAAGCTCCTCTCCGGTTCCATCTGGACCGTCCTGCTCCTCCTCTGTCTGCCTAACATGATCCTGACGAGTAAAAGTCCACCTTCTAAATTCTTCAAGTGCAGCGACCTGAAGACAGCATCTGGGTTGATGTGGCATGAGGTGGTCAACCACGTGTGTCAGATCATTTTCTGGAGCAACCTGGTGACGGTGATCATCTGCTACACTCTGATCACCAAAGAACTTTACAGATCCTACTCCCGCACCAGGGCAGCGACCCACAAGCCCCAACAGTCTGCAAGAAAAATGAACGCTAACGTGTTCCTGGTTCTGGCTGTGTTCTTTATCTGCTTCGTGCCGTTCCACTTCACCCGTGTTCCTTACACCCTGAGCCAGACCAAAGGGCAGCTCTTCGACTGTAAACTCAAGC